TGCGAGCTTCCCTGCAACCCCGTGCTTCCCTGAAGCCTCGTGCTGACCGAACCTGACATCCTTCACTTGAAAAAAAAAGGTCAAAAACTCCAAATATCAATTAATCAATGTTTGGAAACCCTCCTTTCCAATAAAGAAATTTTTAAATTAATAATTAATTTAATCTTTTAATAACAGGACAAAAAGTTAGATTAAACTCTTACCCATAATAGTTGTTACCAACTTCCACTTCTGCATCAGCTTCTTTTCTTAACTTTTTAGTTTGAAAAATCATGTCCACTTTTCTTATTTCATATGTTGAAATAATATGACAGTGATCACATTATAGCCAGGAATTTCCAGGTTTCATTCCTATTGCTTGCTAAAATCCCGGCAACTGAAAAAGTTAAAGCAACTGAGAAACCAAACAAAACGAAATACTATTGCATAGAATCATACTGTTGCATAGAGTTCAAAGGGGCCATTTCGAGGTTGACCCCTACTAAGTGCAGGAATCCAGATTAACGAATCCTTACAATTGACAGCCTAAGCCTCTGCTTGAATACATCCAGCAAAGGGGAACTCACCATCTCCCTGGATAATTGGTTTCATTGTGGAACAGAGAGGTTTTTCTAACATTCAGTTGAAATATTTCTTTCCTGCAACTAAATCCATTAATCCATGCCTTGCGCTCCAGAATGGTAAACAGGTCTTGACCTTCTTCTGTAGGACATCCTTTTAGGTATTTGAAGAGTGCTATCATATTACTCCTCAGTCTCTGCTTCTTTAGGCCAAACATGCTCAATTAGTAGTCCTGTTAAAATCCTTCCTGCCCTTCTCTCAGGCTCTTCATTTGTCTGAATGCATCTTCAAGTGTGTTACCTGGATGGTCTGTCTGTCTGTCTGTCTGTCTGTCTAAGGTAGAGTACTGAAGCACAATAGAGGCGAATATGTGTAGCTCAGGGTACTGTAGAGTACTGAAGCACAAACCAGTGAAATTACTATTTGTGATCCCATTACTGCATTTGCTTTTCTGCAGCCATATTATTCGGCTGACCCATATGTAATCAACTACTATCCCAGTATCTTTTTTCACAAAGATCATTATCAAGCCAGATATTCCCTAGTCTGTATCTGGGCATCTGATTTTGTTTCCCAGATGAAGAACTTGGACTTTCTCTTAGTAAATTTCAATTCAGCCTGTATTTTTTTTTAACATATCCAGGTCATGTTGAATTTTATTTCTGTATTCTTGAATATCAGTTATCCCACCCAATTGTGTCATTTCCAGATTTGGGGGGGGGGGAATGGCAACTGCAATCCCTCCACTTCTTCATCCAGGTCATTAATAAAAATGTTGAAAAATATAGGACCCTGCAATTAACCTTTTGGTATCTCACAGGATATCTTTCTTCAGTTTAATGAGCTATCCTTCCCTGTTAATGACTGCTGATAATGAACATTAATCTGTTGGGGAAAAAAAACCCCAAAACACTATACTGTTTCAACACTAGAGGGCTGTTTTGCACAGGCTAACAATTTAGGGTGCTATCTACAATTAGCCCAGGCCATAAATAATATGTACACTTCAAAAAATAAAGTTATATTCCGAACCATCATTCATGAAACAGTATTGTATTTTTACCTGGGATATTAATGTAAATACATCTACTAGGGGAGTTTTTGCAGGGGAATACGTTGTGTCCTTCAAAACTGATTTTCTCCCTGGGAAATGTTTTCCTCCTAATGAACTTTCCTTGACATTTGAAATAGCTCTTTTATAATCAGATACTGAAGTGTGAAATTGTGATGCTTTTCCTTTCTCGTCCTCTGGGGCTGAAATCCCTCCCACCTGATCTTAGATGCAGATGGTCTGAGAAGTGATTCATGATTCAAACTGATTCCCAAATTTGGGTATCCTGTATGGCTGACTGATGGGTTATGAAAGTTGTGACTGGCTCAATGCCTCATTCTGATTGAATATCCAGTCTGCAATATAACCAGAGCATGTGTTTTTCCTAGAAATGCTGTGTTCATTCTAATCAGTACTACGGTTTATTTAGTCACAGAATCTTTCTTAAATATCATTACTTTTTAAACCACAAATGTACAAATATATTATAACATAAACTCTAGCCTTACTGAATCTCCGAATTCATCACATCTAGTACAGAAGAAATTATTAGAAACTGGCATGGGTTTTTGTAGTTTCCTTTGCATATATATTTATTTCAATATTTTTTAAAAAAAATCTGTTAGACCCATATGGATCAACCTTCATGTACCTCAGTATAATTAACTTTGAAATTTTGTAACCTTCTCTTCAAAATTTTAATCAATTTGTATCCTATATTCACAATAGCATCTTAAAGGAAGAAAAAGCAATTGCAAACACAAAAGGAAAATGTCACCCCCAAACCTACATCTTTCCAATTATGAATATACTTTCAAAGAACCCTATCCAAGGCAAATCTATTGCATAACAACTTTTGTCTATACTTGAACCTAAGATTGGCATCAGAAGCCCTCATGTGTGACTTCAGAGGTTGCCATTCTAACTTTCCAGATGTTTAGAGATGTAGCCTAAAGTAGCTGGGAATAAGAGGCACATCTTTATTGATCATAGTGCTCTAGTTCTGAAATTCTGTACTTAAAGAAAATACAGAAATTAATTTTTTCCCTACTTTTAGATAACCTGTGGCCTGATTCCTACATGCTAACCCATAATCTTGTTTATATTTGTTTTACAGTAGTATGATGTGCAAACCAGATCGCTATGCCACTACAGATTAGCATTAGTATGAACTTACTTTTATTTAACACATTTTTTAAATATTTGTCCTGGTGTTTAAGAGTTTCGTAGTATTTTAATGCTGGTTTAGTATATTATTATTTTAATGTTTATTTAAATATTTTTATATACCTCTTTGGGTATACTACATATAAAAATGGAATTAAAATGAAAAGAAATGACATAGTATTATAAAACTAGTTTAGTAATATTCATATTGGTAAGATATATTCATATTGGTAGGGTAATATTCATATTGGTAATAATTGTATTAAGGCATGAGTCCAAAAAAGGGAAATGTTAATAGGTTTTTTTTAAAAAAAACAGAATACTTGAAGTTTTCCAACTAGATTTCCTTTACACTACATTATTGCACATACCTAATTCTACTTCAACAATAATATTGTAATTATATGCCTTTTTTTTGTATTTGTCTTAAGTATTTGAAAGTAGAAGAATGGGGCAAAAATATATTCGCAAACGTCTTGGATTCTTGCAATGAATGACAGTCAAACACATTTATTTTTACTATGTACAAATGTGGTAGTTTAAAATAGTACTTTATTCACTCGGCTGAAATGACACACAGTCTATGTATAGATAATGGTTTTGACCTAGCAAGCTATACTGATCTTACAAAAATGCTTCAGAGTTTTCTTACTCTGAACAAGTCATTATGAAAATCAAACCAGTTTGGAATTTTCCCACTGCTTCTCCTTTATCTCCTTCACATCCTTTTAAAAACTTCTGAAGATGAGAAGAAAATCTTCTTGCAAGATCTAAAGTACTGATTGCTATCCCTGGATTAATACTATAAGAATTAAAGAAAAGGTAAGTGTGGTGTTGTTCAGATTGCTTTTTTCTTCTGTGCTGAAATATTATTAGACCTCATTGTAACAGATAAAGCTTATTCAACTTACACTAGAGAAGCTTGATACCCTTTAATTTTAATAGGACTCAAGTGCGATTTTTATTATGGCTGATATAATTAACTGAACTGAGTACAATTCTAAATCAACTTAATAAATAAAGAGGCATGAACAAGTTAAAATTAGTTCTATTTCTCTATTTCATGACATATTAAGAATTGTTCTAATTCCACATGTTGCAAGTATTTTTGCAGGAAAGAAGCATGTTGATAGAATGAGAGGATGGGGAACATTTTAAATGTTTTTGCATGCAATTCAATATATTCAAATAATGTTCCATAAACTGGGAAATAGTGCTTTTTAAAAATTACCATTAAAAATACAAGTCATTTGAAATTGCCAATGTCTTATTAACACTAAATTCAGTCTTATATTTTGCCCACTGAAATATTATCTGGGAACGAGGTAATATTTTTAAAAATACTGCTTTCAGCAGTAAAGGGTGCTTTCCATGTAACTCCCCTTCATTCTCATCATCCAAAAAACTAATAATCTTTTAAAATCATTACATGGATTAATTCCCCATACATACTTACATATTTCTTAACTAGAAGTATAAGAATTTCCATATGCTTTCTCTTCATTTTGGGATGTCTGGGAAAACTGAGTGGCAGATGCTGCTAATGCTGCTACTTCTGTTACCAATGGCATTCAGACTGACAGCTCTTCGTGCCAAACTAACAACTGTACTTCATAGCTCAGGAATAAGACACTGGCAGCAGCAACAGTCACCCCCCCCCAACTCCACAGAGACAACAGCAGCCACCCAACCTACTACCCCAGCACTATCAAGCAGCTCTCCAGGGTCTACAGCTAAACTACAAGGAACAACGTTAGGAACCACGGGGGAACACGTGTGTAGGGGTGTGTGTGTCTCTCTCTCTCTTGACTTTGAGTCCTGGGTCCAAATCTTGTTGTTCCCTTCAATCAGCTTGAAAGCGATCACCATGGAAGTGCTTACAAAACTGCCTGCTGAACAGATAATTATTCAAAAAGAGAATGCTGGAAAAAGCAACAGCCAAATGATCAAGTATCATCCTCAAGAGCCATCAGTTTCCTCAGCCAAGGAATCAAAATATGTGGAGATTTACGATTTTCCTGGAGGGAGTGGAGAGAGTCCCCAGACTCTAAAACTGAATCTAGCACAGAATGGAAGTAAAGTGGCTTTTATCAGATCTAAAAATGGACCATGCGGGATCAGTGAGGTTAACAGATTGGCTAACAAAATCTTGGCAGACAAATCTGCGAATCAAGAATCCCTGGATTATACATCTAAAATGGAAGGCACTCCTTCCCCCATGGGGATGAAAGCTGATGAGGTTGGGGAAAGGATCACTGGCATCAGCTCAGAAGGGTCTGAGAACACTCTGTCCCCTAGTATCTCCAACGTTCAGCTTTACACACATGGCTGCCCAGAATCATCTTCATCATCTTGTCCTTCACCAATACAAAAGACAGGGAGTTTTCCAAACATGGATGACTTAGAAAGAGGGGGGAAAACCTCTTCCTCATTTGGGTATGACAGCGATGAAGATGAAACAGACTGCAAAGAAATCTGTCTGAGCAATGAGAGAGGAAGATGCAGACATGCTTCACAGCTGTTGCAGTCACAACCTACCTATACCAGTGAAAACAACAATAGTAATAATGATGAAGCACATTATATTACTACCCATGAAATCCAGCTTAGTGAAGTAGACCATGACATGGATTTTGACTATGGATTAGCTTCTCGGTGGGACTTTGAGGACAACAATGTAATTTATTCCTTTGTGGATTATGCTTCCTTTGGGAGCGAAGAGACTCTTGCAGACACACAAACAGAAGAGGATAATAGCTGTTATCTCAGCACAACCACCAGTGATCCTAATAATCAGACAGACAGTATTGATAATACCAGCAGTACAGAGATAGTCAGCATTAATTCTGAAAATGATACTCCAAGCACAGACAAATGCGCCAGCTCGGAAGAAAGTCAGTCCAAGAACCTCTGCAACATGAGTGAGAATTCTGCAGGCCAGATACTCCTATCAATCAAACCAACTTCCAGGGCTATAAATGAGCCTAGCAACCAGCACGGAAAGCAAAACATTATTTATGCTGCCAAGCATGAAGGCGACATGAGCCTCTGTGTCTCCACAGCTCATGAACGAAATTCAAGTTTCAAACAAGATGTGTTTCATGACTATGCAAAAAAATTTACTGCAGTTCCTGCACGCTTGCAAACAAGGTGCGGAGCCATAAAAGCAAGAGAACTGGGTGGATATTCAAGTGGTGCCTCCAGTGTGGTAAGTGAGTTGGATGATGCAGATAAAGAAGTAAGAAGCCTGACAGCAAGGGCATTTCGGAGCTTAGCTTATCCCTACTTTGATACCCTGAACTTGAGCTCCAGTGAGTCTTCCACATCTCTTTCAGATCACAATCTAGGAATCAACCGGTGGTCAACTTACTTGGATTTAAAGTGCAACAGCCTTGGACAGAAAGCAGAGCAGAATCTTTTCAAAAGTAGCGCTGCATCTGCTGGATGGAAAAGAAGCTCTGGGACTAAGACATCCAGTGACCATTTCTACATTCACTCCAATAAGTCACAGACTAAAGCATTGGAATTTGTTGTCAGTAAACTTGATGGGGAAATAACGCATGTTGAAACACCACCTTGCTTTGAAAAACAAGTCCAGTCAGGCTCCCGAGTTGTTACTTTGCTGGAGACTTTGAATTTCAGCAGCAATATTAATGCGGGTGTCCCCAGACCTGCTAAACCTTCTGAAAATGCTGCTGTTGGATCAAGTTGCACAGATGAAGTTACAGAAACACTGCCAAAGGAGCAGGGCAATGAAATCTGCAAACAAACCGGAGTGGTTGCAGAAACCATGGAAGGAACGCAGAAGTCAAAATTTGCATCTAGCCTCCTCAAAAATGTTATTTCAAAGAAAATGCAACGGGAACATGAGTTCAAAATGGAAAGGGGAGAGATCACAGACACCACATACTCTGGTATGTCAAATTCCTCATCTTCTAAAGAGGTAGATAGCACTGCCAAAGAGAAGTTAAAGAATGGGGGGTTGCAAAGACAAAATTCAAGATATTCAGAAGGCAGCTCTGATTGCACTATTGTAACAGCGGATGATTTGGGGGAGTTTTTTGACAGCAAGTCTCCAACCTCCAAGCCCTCTACTCCCCGCGAGGCCACTATTAGCTTAAATCGAAGCCTTTCAGAATCATTTTTAGAAGAAGCATGTAAAATAAAACGAAGTGCCTCTGAAACACTCAAGGCAACTTTCCTCCGTAGCCAGAACAGTGCATTTAGAATGTGGAAAGAAAAAGAAGCAGAGAAAAAAGAGGAAAAAGTTCCTGTGGGAAAACTGAAAATTGGATCTAAAGGTAACTGGAAGGCTGATATGGGAGAAATCACAGCTAACAAAGCAACTAAAATGTCTCATCTTTTTGTCCCAAATATTCAACAAACAACCAAAGATAATACTAATTTGCATGTAACAAAATACTCCTTAGCAACTACTCCAGCAGCTCAGACTGCTATTGCCACCACAATGATAAAGCCCAAACCTCCAGAGATCAAGATAAGCTTGGGAAGTGTGGAGCAGAACAAAGATAATTCTTTCAATATTGCTAAGCTTCTCACCCCCAAGATAGCTGGAAATGCCCCCAATTTTTTCAAGACAGCTGTTGATACCAGATGTCAACAGCAAAAGCAAATAAAAGGGGAGACTATGGACAAACTGCCTCAATTTCAGGTACGTGATGTAAGAGAAAATAAGTCTAAAGTCCAAGGGCCTATACATCAGGTGAGAGATGTCAGGAAATTAATCAAGAGTAGTTATGGTCTTGAGTCAGGGGATAGCCACAGTGACAGAGGTAGTGTTAACTCTGATCAGGGAACCTTTGACCAGAAAGCCAAACAGCTGATGTCAACAGGCATTCCCAGGTCTCTGTCTCCCATGGTGATAACTTGTCAGGCAGTAAGTAACAGTAAAGAAGACAAGAAGCCCAACAGATCTTCTGAGGTGGGGGCCAAAGTAAGTAATGGAGGCAAGATGCTCCCTTCCAACCAAGAAGGAACCATCTTGGTGCACAGGACCTCAGGAAGGCTGCCAGTAGCCACCATTGCTCCCAACAAAAGTGACCCTCGCCAGCCTGCTGTACTGAAGATAGTCTCCAAAACATCTGTGCCCTGGAGGCAGCAGTCACACCCACCACCACAGCAGTCAGTGACAACTGAGAAAAGCAGTAAGGTGGGACCACTGGTGGTGGATGGAGAAGAACAACTTCCCAAAGAAGAGGTGACCAAGGCATCTGTCTCAGCAAACCATCAGGCACTGCAAAAACTCACAGCAGCAGTCCGGAGCATGGAAGAGCTGTACAGTTTCAGTAAAAATGAGTGGAAACGGAAGAGTGACCCGTTACCGATAACTGACAGCCATGTCCTGTCCCTCATTGCCAGCGAGGAGCGGACCATGGGAGGCATGAACAGTGCTACAGAAGAATCAATGACAGCTGCCAAGGCTGAGGACCAGGAAGCAGCTCGGATGGTGGGCTTAACAACTTCTCCCAACAGATCCGCCCCAGAGCACCAACCTCGGGGCAGGTTCAGCAACCCAACCAAGAGCGCGGAGAAGGTCTCAGCCAAGACAGCGGCCTTTGAGAGCCTGGCCCTGGCCCGAGAGCGGACACGTGGTTCAGGCATCTACGGGGAATCTGCCGCCGGGCCTGCTGAGAGGGGCAGAATCCCTGCGGTCCCCCGCGCCACCTTCACCTTCAGCGCTCAGGCCCAGAAGGCCAAGCATCAACCTCCGGCGCCTTCGCCGCCTTCCCCTCCTCGAGGCCTCAAAGGCCAGGCCAGGCCTCGGGCCATCAAGCTCTTTGGCGGCCGGCAGGGGAGCCTGGTGGAGCCCGACAAGGACCGCAAGCCCACCGTCCCCGACTGCGGGAACTACCTGGCCATCTCTCTCAAGGAGTCGGCCGCAGAGCAACCTGGATCGGTCGGCGCAGGCGCAGGAGCAGCGGTCAGCCGCGCCGGCCTCGTCGCGGCCGCCTCGCCCGCTGCCGCCCAGCCTCTCAGCCTGGGCCGGTCCCTGGCAGGCTCCAGCC